GGTACATATGATAGTTATAAATTACACTAGAAATGCAACCTAGGGAAATAACAGCCATTTAACTTTTGTGAGCATTGTTCTACATATTTCTCAGTCCCTATTTATAGATAGAAGATAGGGTAGACAAAGTTTTTGTTTATTTATTTATTTATTTATTTTTATTTTTTTATTTTTTGACAGGCAGAGTGGACAGTGAGAGAGAGAGACAGAGAGAAAGGTCTTCCTTTTGCCGTTGGTTCACCCTCCAATGGCCGCCGCGGCCGGCGCGCTGCGGCCAGCGCACCCCGCCGATCCGATGGCAGGAGCCAGGAGCCAGGTGCTTTTCCTGGTCTCCCATGGGATGCAGGGCCCAAGCACCTGGGCCATCCTCCACTGCACTCCCTGGCCACAGCAGAGGGCTGGCCTGGAAGAGGGGCAACCGGGACAGAATCCGGTGCCCCAACCGGGACTAGAACCCGGTGTGCCAGCGCCGCAAGGCGGAGGATTAGCCTAGTGAGCCGCGGCGCCGGCCTTAGACAAAGTTTTTGTATAAAAGGAACTAAATTGCACATATTCTTTCAGTAACTAATAACTTTAGTTTTTGTTAATGTATTGAAACAGTATTTGACTCTCTTATGTACAATTGTGGGAATTATCCAATCTCATATAATTATTTCTTATCTATAGGAAACAATCTTAAACTTTGCATGTTTGTGTTGTGTTTTCTCAACACAACATTTCATCTTTAGTCAGTTTTGATACTCTGGTATGTACACTTTGGAAATTAGCTAGAAATTCAACCATGTGAACTCCCCCTTAATTTTTGCTTCATGAAGTATAGCTTTTATCTCCTCTTGGATAATCACTCTGCCCACAGAGATTTAGTCTTAGCTGTATATATTACTTCAGTGCTCATCACTAAGATTCTTAGTATTTTTATGAAAAGATTTACTTTATTTAATTAAAAGGCAGAGTGACATGGGGGAGGGAAAAGGACGATGAGGGAGAAAGGGAAGTGTGGGTGGGGAAAGGGAGAGACAGAAAGAGAATATCTTGCATCCGTTGATTTATTCCCCAAATGGTCCCAAATTGCTGGGGCTATGCTAGGTCAAAGCCAGAAGCCTGAAACTCTGTCTGGGCCTCCCACATGGGTGGCAGGGGCTGAAGTACTCAAGGAATCTTCTGATTTCCTAGGTGCATTAAGAGGGAACTGTATTGGAAGTGGAGCAGCTGGGACTCAAACTGCTGTTCATATGGGATGCCAGTGTCATAAACAATGGCTTAACCTGCTACGCCACAATGCCAGTCACAGCTTTTTACTCTTGACATATCATTCTTATTTTGTATTTTGTTATGGACCCATCTTTACCAGGGTCTTCTCTGTTGCTAGGGTATATTTTCTCCTCAGTCAGCCTCATATTTAGCCATATGATTTATTTTGGCCAGTGGAACAAGAGTGAAAGTGACATATGCCATGTCCTAGCAAATATTTTAAAGGACTCCTTGCTTAGTTTACCTTTGCTTTTCACCCTCCACCAGGGGAGTAACATATTCCCAATGCAGTCTGTTACTCTAGTTTGAGTACCAGAAGATGAAAGTCACTTGCAATGTGAGCAAGTAATAAATCTTTACTTTTGTGAGCTATCAAGATTTTTTTTTTGTAAACTGCAGAATAATATAGAAAGCTATTTCAAACCCTCTGTGTTTTTGCTATCAAACTTGGTCTCTAAAGAGATCTTCCTAATTTATCCCATGGCCCACTCAATCCTTTTGATAGCATCATGGTGACTGAGAGATCATTGGATTTATCTTTCACAATATAATATTTTTTAAACAAAACTTAACAGTCTTCCCCGATGGGAAGAAATATTGTTGGTGCTTAGCATCCTCTCTTTCATCTCAACCTGAATTTCCTTTATTCCTTTTGATCTGTGTCTAGAGGAACTTCTCAAGTTTGAACCTAAGAGAATTATTTTATTTTCCATAGCTTTGATTTTGCTTATAACTGCTCTCATTATGGATTTTAATGCCACGGTGTCATCTTTTTTTTTCCTTTTTAAAAATCCCTTTTTGTAATCCATTTCATTCATTCAGCAACTGTTTTCATCTATGCTAGAAACAGCAGTAAGTATTGATTACTTAGTTGGGAGATTCACTTCCAGTACAAAGCAATTGAAGCAACAAAAATCCGAGGAAAAGAAGGATAGAAAGTAATTCAAGATAATGCATTATTGTGCTGGCTACTGCTTCTTGTTGAGCCATGAAGAGATAGTGGGTACACTGAATAACTGCCCACATTGATTCTAGAGAGAGAAACTTAGCTGTACTACATACAATAATCAATCAGATGGAAGCAGGTCATTTTTCTGTACAGCTTCCTCTTGAGTTTTATCTTCCATTGGTCAGAGTTTACCAACATAACATATCCTATATGGTAATCCTTTTATCCTAGTCTGATACAAAGAGACAAACAATCCAGGCATACATCTGGTTGGCCTCAAGTGATGGAATCACATGAGCTGTAAATTTTGGGTGGGCTGAAGTGGCGTTTAAAGGCCAAGGCAGAACAAGAGACCATGTGTTCATGAGCCAGGAGAGTCTCAGTCTGAAAAGAAACAATACATGTGTCTGATAGAACAACACATATTTTTTTTTGACAGGCAGAGTTAGACAGTGAGAGAGACAGAGAAAAAGGTCTTCCTTCCATTGGTTCACCCCCACAAATGGCTGCTACGGCCTGTGCACTGCGCCTATCCAAAGCCAGGAGGCAGGTGCATCCTCCTGGTCTCCCATGTGGGTGCAGGGCCCAAACACTTGGGCCATCTTCCTCTGCCTTCCCGGGCCACAGCAGAGAGCTGGATTGGAAGAGGAGCAACCAGGACAGAATCTGGCACCCCAACCGGGGCTAGAACCCGGGGTGCCAGCACTTCAGGCAGAGGATTAGCCTAGTGAGCCACAGCACCGGCCAGAACAACACGTATTTTATAAGGGATAGGGACTACCCTAGGTGCTTTGCTTATAGCAGTGAATAAAACACTCCTACCCTTCCAGAGATGTCCTCACTTCTTGACTCTCTATTGCTCTTTCCGAGAGGTGTGATGGGTTTTTTCCATACTTTATCTAAATTTTTGTTCTAAATTTTCTCGAGTAGTTCCTACTCAGAATTACACTTTACCTCTGAGTATGCATGTTGAAATTTTCAGTTTTCTTAATTTTAAGCATTAAGTAAGTCCTGCTTACTATTTTTTATTTTTTATAAATTTTTAAATGAGAAATCTAGACAGACTCAGTGTTTACTGGTGCTCCAAATTTGTGCATTTTGTAAGGTTTCTTTGTTGTAGACTTTGATGTTCATTAAGTTCCACTTTCAACTTTTATAACTGTGGTATATGTTTCATCCTGTCTACTTTTCAGAATGTGGTGTATGTAGACGAGGGGAAACATATCTTCATAGAATGAAATCATCCCTTAGTTGAGGAGAAAATTCCTATTTAGTATAGTCAGTATATGTTATATAGTATAGTCAGCCATATGTTAGCCAGGAGACCTAAGTCAATGTTCCATTTAGAGAGGGGATATAATGAGGACATGACATATCATATTTCAGTATTACGTAAAATATAGTAAACTTACTTTTGTGTCAATGTTAGAAGACATTTGCTCTTTCTTAATGAGAGGACCAGAATCAGTAATTGGTTTGCATTAAGAATCAGAGGCAACAAAATGTATGATGTATCTTTAGTCATAAAAAACACACTTAACAGTAGTGATTAAAAAAAAAAAACTGCAGTGATATAATCATACTATTATAAAGCACTTAAGAATGAATGAAAGGAATACAAGGATAACCATATGGCATAGTGGTTAGTACCCTGATTGGGATTCTCACATATCATATCAGTTATTGGATTTAAGTCCTGGCTTTGCCCCCAGTTCCAACTTCCTGATAATGTGCACCCAGGAGGCAGTGGGTAATGGCTCAAATAGTTGGGTTCCTGCTACCTGCTGGGAGACCAGATTGAATTCCTACCTTCTGGTTTCAGCCTGGACCAGCAATGGCTATTGTAGGGATTTGGGGAGTGAACTACCACATGGGAGAGCTCTATCTCTCTATACACTCCTCTTGTCTTTATATCTCTGCTTTTCAAATAAATAAAATGAATTAGTACTTTTTCCAAAAATTAGAAGACACAATCTCCAGACTGTACATTATGTATTTTATTTTGATAAAATTGGTATCCATAAATATTTGCTCCATTTGAATACCCAAAATAATTTCCAATTTTGTATTACTTATATCACAAGGAATTCACTACCACAGGAAACTGGAGCACTTTGTCCAAAGTGTCTGGTTCTCTTGGACTCTTAGTGCCATCATTATCACCACCATCAGTCATTTGTCCTCCTGCTTACTAATTTTACCCTGCATGGATTGAAAGGGCTGATTTTCCCTTGTGGTGATGTCCTTAATTCTTCTTTCTTCATTATTTTCTTTAAGTTGCATTAGAGGCACAAGAATCCTAGCCTAGGCCTCTGAGGTTACAAGTTAGAATTGGCAGTGGAGTTTTAGGAACTTTGGTTTGAAACTTAAGTTGCCTTTTGGAATCCTTTTTTAATACATTTAATTTTTTAATAATGTAAAATGGAGGATTGACTTACCTTATTTGAACATTGTCGGATAACTGTAGTCAACATCAATTGTAACTGAAGTGTTAACTTAATTTCAATAAGAAAGGTGGTACTGTGACTGTATATCCAGGATTTTTATTACTATTAAGCTATTAAAGAAAATTGATAAGTGTTTGGCTTTGAAAGTCATAGTAGTTCTATCAATACTTTCTAGGTATATGTGATAAATATTAAATACTTTATATTTTATTTCTTTTATTAATAAGTTTTCCTGCTGCAAAGCATAATAGATGAAAAATAGAAAGCCGATTTATAACATCAGATGAACACAGTAATTTAACTGAGATTATCTTTATTCATGCTTTTCTCTATTTATTGCTTGCTTGGCACAGGAAAGAATTGCAGGAGCTGCAGAATCTTTACAAACAGAACAGTGCACACACAGCACAGCAAGCAGAGCTGATCCAGCAGCTTCAGGTTCTCAATATGGACACACAGAAAGTACTGAGGAATCAGGAAGATGTTCATACAGCTGAAAGTATATCCTATCAAAAAGTATGTTTTTATTGTATCAAAAAATATAAACATTTGTATGAACTTAAGAAACTATATAAAAAAATTTTAATATTAGCATATCTAGTTTCCTTTTACATATGTTTCTTCAAAATGAAAAATGAAGCATGAAGTATGGTTCAACTTGGTAATATTAATCTCCTGTTTTCCTTATGTTACTAGAGCTGAGTCATTTAAAGTATAAATATAAATTTATTTTTTTAGGATATTGTTTTTATAAATTGGAATTTTGATGCATACTCTCAAACATTCTAGTGGTTTAACCCCCAATCTGCAAAGGATTTGGGAGTTGGAATTATTCAGACTTTGGTTATGAATTTATTTCATCAAGTGTGATGAAAGCAGACTGTCATAAAATTTGTGTGTATGTTTTTTTTTTTTTTTTTTTTTTTTTTAATTTTATCAAGTTGTCTATGATGCTCAAACACTAAGGAGAATACTGATGATGATATCTTTAGGTTCAATGTTTGAATACTCTCTTTATTTTGTGTGTTTCTTTTTAGTAGTCATTTTACTTTATAGTTGTATTAGATGCCCCACAAGAAGGCTTATCAGCTATTTAGTTGTGCTGACTCAGCAGCAATGACAACAGTAATTATTGGTAGTAATAAAAAGAAACCATTATTGAGTTCTTTCTGTGTTTTGTATTGTGTGAGGGGTTGTATATATAAATAATTTAGAATGTATATGATCACTCTGTGAGACTGATAGTTAATAGTTGAGGTAGGTAAGGCTTAGTTAGAAAGATTAATTAGTAAAAATCCATATTATTCATAACATTTTGGGATTTTTTTCAATCTTTTATTCATTAAAAAAAGCACCATGAAAATTGAAAATCTAAAATTTTGAATAAATAGCTTTATTAATTAAACCTTGAACATGTATTTTTAAAATTGTTGAAGAACATGTAATATTGGGATTAATTCCCTAAACATTAGGGAAAAGTATTTGTAATTACCTGCTTAATGTATCTTCTCTTGGATGGCTGATGGGCATCTCACAGTTATCATGCTCAGAACTAAGCTATCATCTGATCTGTCTTCAACACATGTCTAGGGTTCTACTTCTTACCACCCCTTATGTCACGATTCTGTCCAGGCCATGGATTATCTGGAATACTATAGTTTTATGCCATTTGTGTCTTTGCTCTAACCTTGTGCCCTGAGAATCCATTCTCCACACCAATGCCAAGAAATTCTTGCTAAAACTTAGTTAGTAAAATCAGGGCATTCCTGGGTACAAAGCTCTCCATTAGTTTTCCAGACCATGAAAGGTAAAAAACTTAACTTCTTAACTGGAATCGCACTACGTGATTTGGTTCTACTTTATTTCTCTAGTAGAATGTTTATCATCTCTTCTCATTGATTCTGTTTCAGACAAACTCACCTTTTGTTTCTTGAACAGATCAGGTATTCTTCAACCTCAGGTGTCAGTGCTTTCTCTCAGTGCCTGAGAACACTTCCCTGACTTCTCTACATCACTGCCATTTTGCTTCCTTTGTTCTTTGCCTCTTATAGCTTAAAATTAGTTGACAACAGACTTTAAATAAATAAAAGAAAGTGTGATGTAAGTTGTAATAATAGAAGAAGAGAGGTTTGGGAACATAGTTGAAGCCTGATCCTAGGCTGGGAATGTAGAAGGCTTTCATCGATGAAGTATTATTAGTAATGTTTATCCTGAGAAGATGACATCAAAGACACAAAATTAGTTTCTCATAAGTCTTCCAGATGAACTCTAACTCAAGCCAAAAATTCCCTAGTCCGTGACTCCAAAATTTGGAGAGGTAGAGCATGTATACTCCAGTTTGAGAACTCATCTTGTTGTGAACTTTGATCTGGGATACTTTTTAAAACTTCACATACCTTCCCCTTGTCATTATTTTTATACCCTGAAAGAATTATTATGGTAAGTGATAGGAATGTGCTGTGCTTTTGACTACTGTTGAGGCAAGAAGAAAAAAAAAAGGACAAGTTAAGTTTGGGTTACTTTCAGATAGGTATTGTGCAGATGAAGTATTTTTGTGTTACTGCCATTTCAAATGCTCACCTTCAATATCAGAGGGCCTTCAATGGAATCCTGTGACTCCATTTCTGATCCAGCATCTTGCTAATGTGCCTGGGAGGTAGCAAATGATTCCCAAGTACTTGGGTTCCTGCCATCCACATAGCAGACCCAGGCTTTGCCTAGCCCAGCCTCAGCTGTTGCGGGGCATTTGTGGAGTTAACCAGTAGACAGGAGAACCTCTTCTCTCTCCCTCTTTCTGTCACTCTGTTTTTTAAATAATTAAAATAATAATAATTAAAATAATAATTAAATCCTCCCAATTGTTTCACGTTTCTTTTTCCCCTCCATTTCTCCAGACTGAATTCCCTTTTCCTTTTGATACTAGTGCAACTACTACATAAATACATACAATACAATAAATATATACATGCAAGTGCTACCACTACATAAATGGGTGGAGTGAAGGAGCTTTTTTGGTACTTAGCTTGCTACTTATTCTGTAATGGTGATTCCATCAGAATCTTTTAATTCTGAAGTTATCTTAGATTTTTATAGTAGATCATAAGATTTTCATTATATGCTCGACTAGACTCAACTTGAAAGTCTTGTTTTACTTATTTATACTTTATAAATTTTGCCAGTAGTTAAACATTACAGTTTTTCTTTGATAGTCTATGATAAGAAGTTATTCATAAAAACAGGAAAAAATTTGAAATTCCATCCCTCAAAGGCAAGCACTGCTAACATTTTGAATATTTATTTTCAGATTTTTTTTTAAGATTTAGATAGAGTTTCAGAGAGAGAGGGAAAGACAGAGAGAATTTTCCATCTGCTGGTTCACTCCCAAGATGACCGTCATAGCCAGTGCTGGACCAGGCTGGACCAGGCTGGACCAGGCTGGAGCCAGGAGCTCCATCCAGATCTCCCACATTGGTGGCAGGGGCCCAAACACTTGGGGTATCTTCTGCTGCTTTTCCCAAGCCATTAGCAGGGAGTTGGATCAGAAATGGAGCATTTGGGACATGAACCTATATGGATGCTAGTGTTACAGGTGGTGGTTTTACCCACTACACCACAATGCCAGCCCCTCCTTTCAACTTTTAAAATGTGTTTTAATGTGTCAGTGAGCACATTAATATTTTTTTACTTCAACATTATATTAAAACAATATGACATGTAGCTATATTAGAAATAGTAATATAATTTGCTTAACCACTTTCTAATGTTGATTATATATGGCATTTAAATTTTTCGCTGTTATAATAGTGCAATAAGAATTGTTTAAAATGAATTTATTTACTTGAAAGGCGGAGTCAGAGGGAAACAGAGAAAGAGAGAGATTTTCCATCTACTGTTTCACTCCCCAAATGGCTGCAGCTGCTAGCACTGGGCCAGGGTGAAGCCAGGTACTTCATCTGGGTCTCTCATTTGGGTGGCAGAGGCCCAAACACTTGTGCCATCTTCTGCTGCCTTCCTGAGCACATTAGCAAGGACCTAAATTGGAAGTGGAGCAGCTGTGACTTGAACTGGCACTCATATCAGATTTTTGGCATTGCAAACAGTGACTTAACGTGTTACATCACAACACCTGCCCCTAAAATAAACATGTTTTACTGCTATTCAGATGTTTACTATTTACTAGAGAGTAGTGAGTATACACACACACACACATACACACACAAGCACACACACACAATGATCTACCCACACAGGGAAGAATTCCTTTTATTAGGAAGTTTGTAACATATTAAATGTGTACAGTTTACTCTCAATTAGTTGATACATGTAGATCAGTCTTGCTTAAATATTTAAATAAGAATGTACAGGGTATAATAGAGTCTGAAGGTGACCTAACTAGCACATTATCATTAAATGTTAAATTATTCAATATTTTTTTATTTTATTTAATGAACATAAATTTCCAAAGTACAGCTTATGGATTACAGTAGCTTCCCCCCAACCATAACTTCCCTCCCACCCACAACACTCCCCTCTCCCACTCCCTCTCCCCTTCCATTCACATCAAGATTAATTTTCAATTCTCTTTATATACAGAAGATCAATTTAGCATATATTAAGTAAAGATTTCAACAGTTTGCACCCACACAGAAACACAAAGTGTAAAATACTATTTGAGTACTAGTTATAGCATTAATTAAACACCTAAGAGTAATTGTGTATTAATTACAAAGTTCAACCAATAGTTTTAAGCAGAACATAAAAAATACTAAAATGGTGAAGTATTAAGTTCTTCTTTTTTGTTGTTTGTTATATATTTTTTTATTTAATAAATGTGAATTTACACAGTGCAACTTTTGTATTGTTGTGTGCTCCCCCCCCAACCTCCCTCCCTCCTGTGGCCCTCCCCTCTCCCACTCCCTCTCCCGTCCTGCCCTTCATCGAGTTTCATTTTCAATTACCTTCATATACTGAAGATCAACTTAGTATATACTAAGCAAGGATTTCAACAGGCTGCACTCACACAACCGCACAAGGTATAGGGTATTGTTCGACTAGTAGTGTTGTTTTTAAGTTTCATAGTAAAACACATTAAGGACAGAGATCCCAAGTGGGGAGCATGTACCCAGTGACTCCTGTTGTTGATTTAACAATTGGCACTCTTATTTATGACGTCAGCAATCACCCGAGACTCTTGCCATGAGCTGTCTAGGCTATGGAAGCCCCTTGAGTTCACCGACTCTGAACTTGTTTAGTCAAGGCCGTATCACAGTGGAGGTTCCTTCCTCCCTTCAGAGAAAGGCGCCTCTCTCCTTGATGGCCTGTTCCTTCTGCTGTGGTCTTGTTCACCAGGATCTTTCATTTAGATTGTTTTTTGCCACCGTGTCATGGCTTTCCATGCCTGCGAGACTCTCATGGACCTTTTAGTCAGATCCGAATGTCCCAAGGGTTGATTCTGAGGCAGGAGTGCTGCCATTCTATGAGTCTGCTGTGTGTCCTGTTTCCCCCGCAGGATCATT